GTCGGGTCTAGTTTCCCCCTGGTCGGGTCCGATGTTTCCCCTGGTCCGGTCTAGTTTTCCTGGTGGTCGGGCCTAGTTTTCCCTTGGTCGGGTCAATTTCCCTCTGCTCGGGTCTAGTTTTCTTTCCTTGGTCGGACCTGGTTTTCCTCTGGTCGGGTCTAGTTTTCCTGTGGTCGGGTGTAGGTTTTCCATGGTCGGGTTTAGTTTTCCCTGTTGCCGGGTCTACTTTGCCCCTGGTCGGATCTAGTTATCCTCTGCTCGGGTCTAATTGTTCCCCTGGTCGGGTCTAGTTGTCCTCTGGTCGGGTCTATGTTTCCCCTGGTTGGGTCTAGTTTTTCCCTGCTCGGGTCTAGTTTTCCCTATGGTCGGGTCGAGTTTTCCCCTGGTCGGGTCTAATTGTTTCCCCTGGTCGGGTATAGTTGTCCCTGTGGTCGGGCTTAGTTTTCCGTAGTCGGATCTAGTTGTCCTTTGGTCGGGTCTAGTTTTCCCCTGGTCGGAACTAGGTTGTGGTCGGGCCTAGTTTTTACCTGGTCGGATCTAGTTTTCCTTTGCTCGGGTCAAATTTTCCCCTGGTCGGATCTAGTTTTCCTAGGGTTGGGTCAATTTTCCCTCTGGTCGGGTCCCGCGCCTCCCTGGTCGGATCTAATTTTCCTCTGGTCGGATCTAGGTTTCCCCTGGTCGGGTCTATGCTTCCCCGTGGTCGGGTATAGTTTTCCTTGTGGTCGGGCCTATTGTTTCTCTGGTCGGATCTGGTTTTCCTCTGCTCGGGTTTAGTTTTTCCATGGTAGGGTATAGTTTTCCTCTGGTCGGTTCTAGTTTTCCCATGGTAGGGTCTAGTTTTTTCCCTCGGTCGGGTTTAGTTTTCCCTGTGGTCGGGCTTAGTTTTTCCCTGATCGGATCTAGTGTTCCTCTGGTCTGGTTTAGTTGTTCCCTGGTCGGATCTCGTTTTCCTCTGGTCGGGTATATGTCTCCATTGGTCGGGTCTAGTTTTCCCTGGTCGGATCTAGTTTTCCTCTGGTCGGGTCTAGTTGTCCCATGGTCGGTCTAGGTTTTCCCCTGGTTGGGTCTAGGTTTCCCTGCGGTCGTGCTTAATTCTCCCCTGGTCGGATCTAGCTTTCCGCTGGTCGGGTCGAGTTTTCCCTTGGTCGGGTCTATTGTTTCCCCTGGTCGGCTCTAGTTTTCCCTGTGGTCGGGCCTAGTTTTTCCCTGGTCGGATCTAGTTTTCCTCTGCTCGGGTCTAGTTTTCCCTTGGTCGGATCTAGTTTTCCTTTGCTCGAGTTGATGTTCCCCCTGGTCGGGTGTAGTTTTTCGCTGGTCGGATCTAGTTTTCCTTTGGTCGGGTCTACTTTTCCCCTGGTCTGGTCTAGTTTTCCCCATGGTCGGGTCTAATTTGCCCTGTGGTCGGGCCCAGTTTTCCCCTGGTCGGATCTAGTTTTCCTCTGCTCTGGTTTAGTTTTTCCCTGGTCCGAACTAATTGCCCCGTGGTCGGGTCTATGCTTCCCCTGGTCGGGTAGTTTTTCCCTGGTCGGATCTAGTTTTCCTCTGGTCGGGTCTAGTGTTCCCCTGGTCGGGTATAGTTATATATATATATATATATATATACTTTATCTCTCTCTCTCTCTCTCTCTATCTCTGTCTCTGTCTCTGTCTCTCTCTCTCTCTCTCTCTCTTTCTCTCTCTCTCTCTCTCTCTCTCTTCCTTGGTCGGGTCTAGTTTTCCCTGTGGTCGGGCCTAGTTTTTCCCTGGTCGGAATTATTTTCCGCAGCTCGGATCTAGTTTTTCCTTTGGTCGGGTCTAGTTTTCCCCTGGTCGGGTTTAGTTTTCCCCTGGTCGGGTCTAGTTTTTCCTTTGGTCGGGTCTCGTTTTCCCCTGGTCACGATGTCGGCGGTCATGGTGTCGCTGATTGCGCTGATGATGTCGGTGGTCACGATGGCGACTACGATGACGGCGATGACGACGACTAGTTTTTCCGCTCGCAAGTGTCGCGGCGCCAGCTGCCGCGACGCCGCCTCGGCCCCAGAAGGCTCGCCAAGGGCAACGTCACGGGCGCGCCAGAGGCAGCGAGTCGGCCACGCCAGAGGCGGTGTCTCGGGCAACCATCTCCTAGCGAAGGTCTTCCCAAGGGTTGCTCTTGTTCTGCCCGCTTCCCGAGGGCGGTGAATTGTCGGGGCACGCCAGGGGCAGTGCACTCTGGCCGCTTCCTGAGGCCGCTTCCTGAGGGCGGTCAGTTGGCGGGCGCCATTCGGCCGCTTCAGGCAGCTTCCTGGGACCACTTCGCGTTGGGGCGCGCTCGCCGCGGCAGGGCGCGCCAGAGGCAGCGCCTGCGTCCACCTCGCCCATGGCGGGGCGCGCCCATGGCGGGACGCGCTCCTCCTGCCGCGCCCAGTTCGCCCATGCGATGAGCATGCCTTTGTTGTCGGCCTTCTCGCGCAAGGAGAACTCGCCGGAGTGTCTGTCTAGGAAGTCCTTCAGCCCCCCAGGCGCCAAAAGCTTGTTGAACGTCTCGAACGCGCGCTCGTCGCGCCACCACAACTTGTCGCGGGAAATCCGCGACGGATCGAACTCACCGCCGTGCGTTTTGAGAACGTCGCGGACTAGTTCAACCAAGCGCACGCCAGCGTCAGGCGCGTTGGCCTCCGAGCCCGCGCCCTGGGGGCGCGCGGGGGCGCGCGCTGGCAGCGCGCGCCCGCCAGAGACAGGGCGGGCGGCGCGCCGGGCATATTGGCCACGAGCTCGCCGGGCGGCGCCTCCCAGTGCTTCGGTCGGAACACAAACTGGCCTGGGTTTTCGCTGGCGAGCGAAGCGACGGCTCGGAGGCAAGCGAGTTCCGACGCTTCCTCTTTCGTCGCGCTTTCCCCCATCGCAGCGAGCCGACGGCCATCTCCTGGCGCAACACCGCCAGCCCGCGCCAGAGGCAGCGCATTCCTTGCACTTGCTGACGGCTGGGGCCAGAGCGCCTCCGTGCACTTGAGGGCGCGTCGAGGCATGGTTATTCAGCGCGGTGTGCCAAGTGATCTTCTTGTCGCTGACGCGTTGCTCCAGCAGGTACGCCTCGACCGATTCGACGCGCGCGGTCTGGAAGTTCGGCCATTGTGCCGCCGTGGAGACCGCGCAACGCGCGACGCGCCAGAGGCGGCGGCCTCGCGCGCGGCGGAATAAGGCGAAATGAGTGCGCTAGTGGCGAAGCGAGGAGCGCTGAGTAGCAGCGGGCTCGAGCCGAAATGTGACGGAAAGCTGCGGCGAGGTCCTAGTGGATGTTCGGAGTGATCTGGTTGCTTATGACTTCTCTTTAAAGTGGTTCATCCCGATGCCAATGACGTCGATGCTTATGACGACGACGACGCAGAGAAAACTGAGCACGACCCTGGTCGCGTCTAGTTTTCCCCTGGTCGCGTTTAGTTTTCTCATGGTCGCGTTTAGTTTCCCCTGGTCGCGAGGAGGAGGGGGAAAAGAGGGGGGGGAGGGCGACGACGCCGAAAGGGGCGACGACGACGACGACGACGACGGCCCAGGTGGCGACGTGGAGCGGCGGCGCACTCCCCCCCCTCCTCGCGACCAAGGAAAAACTAAACGCGACCAGGAAAACACTAAACACAACCAAAGGAAAACGAAACGCGACCAAAGAGAAAAAAGGGGGAGGGGGGAAAATGCCGGGGAAAAACTAAACGCGACCAGGGAAAACTAAACGCAACCGCGGAGAGAACTAAAAACGACCAGAGGAAACTAATCACGACCCGGAAAAACAAAACACGACCACCGGACAACTAAACACGACCAGGGGGGAACTAAACGCGACCAGGAGAAAACTAAACCCGACAAAAGAAAAAACAACATCCGACCAGGGAGAAACTGAACCCGACCAAAGGAAAACATTAAACCCGATCAAGGAAAACCAAAACCCACCTATAAGAAAAAATAGACCCGACCAAGGAAAAACTAGACCCGATCAAGAAGACAAACTGAACCCGACCAAAGGAAAACTAACCCCGATCAAAGAAAAACTAGACCAGACCAGAAAAACAACTAAACCCGACCAAGGGGGAAAGCTATACCCGACCAAAAAAAAAAACTAATCCAGGCCAAAGGAAAAACTAAGCCTGACCAAAGAAAAACTAGACACGACTAGGGGGAAACTAAACCCGACCAAGGGAAAACTAAACCCGACCAAAGAAAAACTAAACCAGACCAAAGAAAAAGTAAACCCGACCGCAGGAAAAAACTAAACCCGACCAGGGGACAGAGAAAAACTGGACCCAACCGAAGGAAAAACTAGAGCCGACCTTGGGAAACAACTAAACCCGACCAGAGGAAAACTAAACCCGACCAAGGAAAAACTAAACCCGACCAACGGAAAAAAGTAAACCCGACCAGGGAAAACTAGACCCGACCAAAGGAAAAGTAGACCCGACCAGGGGAAAACTAAACCCGAACAGCGGAAAACTAAATCCGACCAAAGAGAAACTAGACCCGACCAAAGGAACAACCAAACCCGACCATGGGAAAACCAGACCCGACCAGGGAAAAACTAGACCTGACCAAAGAAAAGCTAGACCCGACCAAAGGAAAAACTAGACCCGACCAGGGGAAAACTAGACCCGACCATGAGAAAACTAAGCGCGACCATCGGAAAACTGAGCAGGAGACGCGGGACATGGCAACCAATATCATGAGAACATGACGGAACAGAACCAGAAATAGCATGATTGCGCCGATGGCGATGACGACGGCGACATCGCGACCGCCGCGACCTGCGGCGACGGCAGCGGCGGGCGCGATATGTCCGAGCCGAGAGCTGCCGCAGAATTCGCGCCTCAGAAGAGCCGACGCCGCCGACAGCCGCGGGGCCTACATCACTGTCGCGCGCCGCCGCAGAACTCATCCTCAGAACCGACGCCACTGGGCCCCTCTCGGAAACGAATGCCCGCGCGACCTCTCACGCGGCAAAGGGCGCGCCAGAGGCGGCGTCGTGGCACGCCAGAGGCAGTGTGTCAAATGCCCACCTACTCGTCGTCCGAGCTCGCGCCATCCTCCTCCTCCTCCTCGCCGTCCTCGGCCACTGGCATCAACAGACGTTTCGCCTCCATCATGGTTCCGCTGAAATGCTTGCTGGCTTTCTCGACGAACTCGGCGTCGCCGCCCAATTGCTCCGCGTGCCCCTCCTCGTGGCCCGCCCTGTACATCGCGCGCCTGTCCACGATGGAATCGAGCCAGTCCCGGCGCGCATCGTCGGCAGCGATGCCTTCGCACCCAATTGCGCCAGAGGCAGCAACAGCCAAAGCGCCAGAACCTGGAGTGAAGTCCACGACGTGGGTCACTTTGCGGTGCTCCACGAGAGTCTGCCACAAGCTGAGCGGCTTCACCTCGGTGTGCGAGAACGGGTGGCCCTTCGAGCCGATGTCCCCCTGCAGGCGCGGTTGCTTCCCGTCAACGCTAGCGCGAGATGCAGCTCCCAAGATGCTCATCTTCGTCTCGCGGTCCATGCGAGGGAGCTCGGAGAAGCGCCGCATTGGGATGCCGCTGTACTCGCCGCACGCGTTGAACTCCGCACGGTGCAGCACTTTCCGCGGCGGGCCCTTGAGTGGCATCGAGAGAATGGCTGTCTCCCTGTTGTTCTTCGTGTAGCTCGACGCCCTGGCCGCGGACCGCGGGTCCACCTTCTTCGCCGGTTGCTCGTGCACGAACCAGCACTCGACGTGCGCGCGGATGCCTCCTGACTCCAACTTCGCATCGAGGTGCCCAAGTGCCCTGCGATTCGCGCGGCTCCTGCCGTCGAGGAAGATGAGGACATCATCCTTCTGCCTCTTCTGCAAGAAGAACTCGATGACGCGCTTGAACTTCGCCTCGTCGCACGCCATCTGCTTGTTCACCCTCGCCTTGGCGCCTTACTTGGCGACGCTGGGCGGGAACGAGTCCGCTGAGAGGATGAACGCGCGAACGTCATTCTTCTTCCTCCCGAAGCGGTGCCCGAGGCTGAGCGCACCCCACAAGCTTTGCATCTGCGCCACTGCGTACTCCGAGCCAGAGGCACCGCCGACAGACGGCAAACTGACGAACTTCACAGTTTTCCTGCGGAGCTGCTTGAGCTGCTCCCGGAGCTTCTGGAGCTGTGCCTTTTGCTCGTCCCCGAGCTCGGACATCCCCAACAAGCCGAGGTTTGCATCCTCATCGGGGCTGGCGGTGATGGGCCCGCCCGCGCACGCGGCCACGAAGGCGCGGTACTTGGCACCAACGCCCTGGCTGGTCTCGGTGAGGTACGTGTGCCAGACGAACCCAGTGGGGCTGTCCTGCAACCGCTGCTGGGCAAGCTCGGCAATTTCGTCGTCGAAAGCGCTCGACCACAGAGGCCACGCGACGTCGATCATCGCCTTCGTCGCGACATCCACGATGTTCCGATGCTCAGCCACGGGGAGCGCAGACAATGTCTCCATCCCGTCGGCGCCGCCGCCTGAGTCGGACGCGCGGTGCGAAGCCACGAGCCCATCCTCGCCAAGGGCAGCGAACTTCTGGAGGATGTGGAGAGGCGTCTTAAATGCCGCCATGTCGTTCCCCACTTTTTTGTTCATGAGAAACGCCCCGTGAAAGATGTACTCGACGAGCTCCTTTTTCTTGAAGAGCGCGTGGGGCATCCCTGGCGTCTTCCTATCGCGCCAGACGACCTGGCTCGCGACCAGTTGCTCGACCTTCGGGACGTCGCCCGCCAAGCGGACCACGCGGAAACTGCTCACGATGAAAACGAGCAATTCCCTGGCCTTGGCGTCAGAACCACCCCTCGTGGAGCAGGCGAAGCCGATCGCCATGAGAAGCGCAGGGTCGCGAAGCTCTGGAAAATGCCCTTCGGCCCGCGCGAAAGCCGAACTGCAGGCGCCGTCGAGGACGAAAGGGCGCAGACCTTTCAGCGCCGCGGCGGTTGCAGCGGTGCGCGCTTTTCCTTGAACTGGAGGCCGTAGGCCTTCAGCGCAGCCTCCAGCTTCGACACTGGTTCCTGCTTGGCGAAACAGTTCTCCACGTTGGTCAAGCGGCGCGTTTCTTCTGCAAACCGCCAGAAGGACTCAGCGCCAGAGGCAGCACACGCAGAGAACATCTTCTCTGAAAATGCCAGAGCGGCCAAGTGGGCCGCGTCGCCACCAGGCAGCAAACGCATCCTGATGGGCACGGACAACGCGGCATTGAACAGATGCCACGCGGTCTTCGTTGCACTGCTGGAGCGCCTCGCTCATAGCAGCATACCACGTGATGGCCACCGCGCGCCCCGCGAGCATGACCAGAGCCTCTGTCAAGCAAGCTCCAGGCTTGTTAGGCTCAAACCGCTGGCCGACCTCGACGTCGACCACCAAGGCGGGGATAGGCGCGTCGAAGGAGAGGCGCCGCGAGGGCGCGTGCTTGGAGGAGAGGGAGTGCGCCTCCTCCGACCACATGCCCATGGCACCCTCGAGCTGGCTTACGGTGACGTCGTCGATGTCCGATCAAATCGGGTCCAACATCCACGCCGTCCCCGCTGCCTCGCACTCCTTTGTGCGGGAGAAGCTCGCAACCAGGTTGTCGTAGCCCATGACCTCGCGAAACGAACTGAGGTTTGCGCCAGAGGCAGCATCAGTGATGGCCAACTGCGGAATCAAAGAACACTTGGCGGGCACCGCGAAGGACACCTCGCGCTTGCGCTGCCCCAGGAAGCAGAGCAAACTATGGTCGACGTGGTGCTTCACTTGGCGCACCCACTCCTTGACGTGACCCTGCTGCATCGACTGGTCCGTCTCGAGGAGCTGCGCGATGCGCAGGGCCGGCGGCGCGCCAGAGGCAGCGGCGGGCGGCGCGCCAGAGGCAGCGGCGGGCGGCGCGCCAGAGGCAGCGGCGGGCGGCGCGCCAAAGGCAGCGGCCGGCGAGGCCGCCGCGGCCGCCGCCCTCTTCGCAGGCGACGGGATCCCCGCATCACCTGCCCTCTTAGCGCCCACGGCGGCTGCTGGTGGTTCGGGGGGGGGGGGGGGGCGCGAAAAGCAAGAGCGAGCTACTCGCGTCCGAGAGCCGAAACCGCTGTGGATGATGATGATGATGGTGATGATGATGATGGTGATGATGATGATGACAATGGTGGTGATGACGATGATGGCGATGGTGATCATGATGATGGTGACGGCGACGATGACAACTGCTGGTTGCGTGATGACGGTGATGATGCTAACGACAGTGAGGATGATGATGTTGGCGACGCTGCAAATCCTTAATATGATGCCACCCCGTGGTGGACCAGTCAGCCTGGAACTCCCTGCGTACGATCGAAGACCGCCTGCGCCAACTCGTGGGCAACGCGGCCCCGTGCAACGACTGCCGCTTCCGCTGCTACGACGGCGGCGACATTCTCGAGCGCGATGGCCAGGGGGGAAGTTCAGGCGCACTTTCACAGACGTCCTTGGGTGGACACTGCGACGATATTTCCAGTGGCCTCCCTGAGCAGGCGGCGCCGACCCACGCCGTCGGCGCGGGCGCGCACTGGTCACTCAGGGCGCTGGCCTGTTCTATCAGCTCGGGTGGGAACGACGCTGTTATTTCCAGTGGCCGCCTCGGGCAGATGGCACCGACCCACTCTAAGGCAGTGGGCGCGCACTGGTCACCCAAGACGGCCACATGTGGCTCCTTGTGGGGCTCGGTGGTTGGTGGAGTTCGCCCTGACAGCGAGAACGGCGAAGTGGGATCGGGGGGGGGGGGGGGGGGGGGGGGTGGGGAAGGGGGGGGAGGAGGAGGAGGAGATAGGAGGAGATGGGATGAGATGGGAGGAGGAGGAGGAGGAGGAGGAGGAGGAGGAGATAGGAGATCGGAGATAGGAGATAGGAGATAGGCGGAGGAGGAGGAGGAGATAGGAGGAGATAGGAGGAGGAGGAGGAGGAGATAGGAGGAGGAGGAGGAGGAGGAGGAGGCGTTCGTGTCGATCCTGGTGCCGATGCCGACAGACGACGTGATGCGCGAGATCTCACCGACAGGGAGAAGGCGACGCCGTCGGAGCGCAGACGACCCAGGAGCTACAGTCGAAGCGTTGACCTAAGGAACCCTAAGTAAGGAACGAGGCCCCTGTTTCCCATAAGTTAAACTCCGATGTTCCGTAGAAAATCTCAGGACAACCCAAGGAGCACTGTAAAACAACTAAGGAACACGGAGCCCCTCCCAAACGAAAAGGGCTCCTTCTTCAGCGCCCCGACCGTGCAACACACAATCCCGACGCGCTTGCAATCGTGACGGCCACTGCCACAGGCTGCGGCACCTGCCTGGAGCAGCTCAAGGAGATCAACGTGCACGACCATGCGCAGGCCGTCCTCGCCCGGGAGCGCCACTTGGGGGAGGAGCTCAAAATTGGGGCTCCCGCCAGAGCTGCTCGCAAAGCCGGCTGGATCGCCGATGTCACCCCCGCCGCCAAGACCGACAATGTTGGCACCTCCGCTGGCGCTGGCATCCTGGCACGGCCTTGGGTGCACATGCAGCGCGCTGAGTTCTCCGACGAGCGGATCTCAGTGCGTTGCTCCTCGCGTCTTGGGTTCTGGATGACGTCCCTAGGCGCGAGCGAGGGTGCGTCATGGCTGGCTTCGGAATATGTCCATACCTGCCAGGGCCTGAGCGACTGCAACCTTGATATACGCACGAAGCTCGGGCCAATGGCTCGTGCCATGAACCGCCCATGTAGTGGGGGCACATTGGAATGCGGTACCTTCCGTTGTGGATGAGGCGCGCCTCCTGTCCCCCCTCGGGATTCGCCCGGCGTGCTCGAGGGGGGCAAACTACCTGCATCACGTCTGACTGAGCCCGAGAGCTGGCCTGCTCCAGCGCGGCCCAGGGCATGCCCATCCGCGACGCTCGACACTGCAATTCCTTCGACGCCCGCAAGCACAGGGCCGTCCTGATGTTCCTGGTGCTGCCGAAGCCTACCAGCAGCCCACCAGCGTGGTGACCAAGATCCACAAGCCCAAGGCCTTGCCGCCCAATGCCCTCGTACGCTCTCAGCTTCCAAGATCGTCTTGGAAGTGGGTACTCTCCGACCTAGCCGTGGTGGGCAATCCGTTTTCCCTCGGCGCTGTCCCCTTGAACATCTACGAACATGGGCCCCTCCTCCACTTCGGCCTCTAGGGTTCCAAAGGTGGGGAAGGTGCTCGAGTAGCTTAGTGCAGGTCCAGCAAGCACGAGGTGTCCCACGCGGGCAAGCAAAAGCCACACCTGAAGCTGCCGACGGTCACTGGGGTTGGCCAGCCGGTCGCGTTTTGGAGCGGAAGCTTCTACATTCGGCCGGCCAGGTTTCTCATGCGAGGCGCTTGCAAGTCAAGCTCTTAAGTACAAGCCGCCCGATAGTGGCTACAGCCAACTGTGTTGGCCGCCTGGCGGCCCCTTGTCCGATGATTACAGTTTCTCGATGCCGATGACCTGGATCTTCCAATGGGCGACCTTCGACGTTGCGCTTCCCTGGCGGCCGGGCGCACTGCCTGCAGGCGCCACATGTCCTGGCCTGACTGGTCGAGGGACGTCACGACGACATGCGGAACACTTTTCGCTGCATTCATGAGCCTGCTTCGTGGGTTGCTGCTACGCGGATGCCTGCCATTGGCATTCAGTCTGCCCAGCAAGCGGCAGATGTGCGGATACGCCCGCGGCGCGCACGATGGTGTAATGGAGCTGGCCTAGCTGGCGTTCAGTGGTCAGCCGACCTGGGTGATCCTCCTCCTCTTCGAAATGTCGAGGATCTCCGTCGGGCAGGCCACTCTTTCCCGCGCGTCGCGGGCTTGGGAAGGGATGCCTTCCACCCGCGTCATATCACCTTCCTGTCTGGCGACACCCATTATCCGCTCTCATCGCCGCGTGGGGCCTCATGCTTCGGTTGGGGCATGTTCCGAGAACGTTGGCAGTGCCGCAGATGGTTCCCATTCCGACGGCGGAGTCTGGCTCGCGTACCCTCGGACAGCTCCCAAAAATGATCAGACCATGTCTCCGCTGGACTCGGAGCACCTAGGGAGCCAAGTGGGCCAACGATAACCAACGACCGTACATGTTCGGCACAGCGGGGCGCAGCTGCGAGACGTCTCTTTGGATCATGGCAGCGAACGCAGGGCTGGCGACACGTCGTAAGCAGCCGGCTTGGTCGGCGATGAAGGATCTGTCCAACGCCTGAGTGCATCTCCTAGGACTCTTCTTCTGGAGCGTGCGGCTCGTTGCCGTTTCAATATGGCGCCGATGATGAGGCTCCAGATCGAGCTGCGCGCCACGCCTCGCTTCATCACCGTCGACGGGATCGCGGTCGACTGGCGCTGGCCGAACCGAGGTGCGGTTGCGGGCTGCAGCTTTGCAGATCTGCGCATGCGAATGTTCTTGCTCCTGGGACTAGACTACCTGCACCCCCTTAGCACCGTAAACGGTGGCAACGTCGTGGACGACATCCAGCTTGGGAAGGCTGGCGCGTCCAGGATCGCGGCGGCACATGCCAGCTCGGCATATCGACGGATTCGGGCTGGGCCCCCTCTTCGATTGCCTAGTGGTCAACGGCGGCAAGGGGGTAATCCTGGTAAATGAATGATCGCATGGCCGCGAGGTTTAGGTCCGGCAATAGCGACTACAGGCGGTCAACCGCCATATCGCGCGAAGAAACTCAACCTCTAAAAAATCACCAACAAAAGCTCTAAGCCAAAACCTGTCAAATCCCCCCCCAACAGATTTAAAAACAATTCTAAGGCCAAACCTGCGAAAATCTCACCCCCCCAAAAAAAACTGTTTAAAACATCTAAGCCAAAAACCTCAGGAAATCTCAAACCCATATTTACATTTGGGCCCCCCTGCTGACAACCTATTCCGTTCTCGTTTTGCTGGTAACCGCCTTCGTGGTGCAATTCGACAAACACCCACTGGATTGGGTCGAGGCCGAGGCGGTCCCGTCCGCTGGCTGGCGCTGGGCCTAGATCGTTGGTGTTGCCCACTCGAGACGCGACGCTTGGAGTGTCTGCGTTTCCTCAAGAGCCTCCTGGACGTCGTGGCCCGAGCCACCGCTTCCCAAATCTGGGAGCTCTCAATCAACGAGGTTCCGCAAGTTGCCCAGCGAGCCAGGGCACTCCGACGGTGGCTCCACGACAGGGCGACTCCCCGCCGCGGGCCGCTGCTGGGCGTCCTGGCTGGACCGGGCTTTCGTCTTCCCGCTGGAGGCGTCGGTGGCCGTGGCGAGCAAGGCTGGAGTTGGTAGGGCACGGGCGGAGTCGACCTGTCGGAGAGCTTGCCACGCCCATTCTCGCTGCCATTGGATCGTCGCGTCTGACGGGCCCAAGCGTCCAGCATTTCGCGAGCTGGGCCGTGCAACCCGACCAGTCGATCTACATGCTGGGCCGGGTTGATGGCGGGCCGTGAGGAGGAATGTCTGCAAAGATGCTCGCTTCCAGCTGGCCTGCGGCGTCGTGGAGAGCGCGCGGTGTTGCTGCTGCTGGGCTTGGCACCGCGGCTTCCGCCGAGTGTGGGCCGCGATTCTCCAGACTCTTTGGAACGGCTGGGCCACTGCCCGCCAGTTGCCTTAGAGCCCAGTGGTCTTTCCAAAGTGCACCTTCGGCTGCAAGAGCACGGTGGAAAACATCGAGCATTGCGCATCGTGCGATGCTGTCGCCGACCTTGCGCGGCAAAAACTAGGGTGCCGCGAGCCGCTTCACCAGGGGCTGCATTGGCAGGTTTTCTGCTGCTGGACCGCACGGCATAGCAGCGGCCCCATTAGGAACTGATTTGACGGACCCTCCGCACAAGCTGGTGGAGGCACGCCACGGCGCACACCACGCACGGCGCGGGACGCGCTGCACCATGCTGTCCGAGACATTGTCGACAGACACGCAGGGGCAATCGGCAATCAGAGCGATCGATTCAGCGGGGGTCTGATGGACAAGCGGGACACCCGGCTGCTCTCTGCCGCTCATCCAGCTACCCATCCAGACACGAGAGCACTGGAAACGTCATCGCAGACTGATCCCGTTCAGTTCACATAATGATATGATGCATCTTTCCCTCGTTGCCACCCTACCAACTCCTCAACCCATTCCTCGGTTGTCATGTACCACGCGGGGATTCCTCATTGCATCGAAATGCTCTCTCTCTCTCTCTCTCACTTCAACCTTGACTCTGGGTACCGCTGGGATCATGGCGGCGACTTCGAGTACGAGGACAACTAACACGATTCGTCAGTGCCGCGGCCAGGGATGGCTCCTAACTAATTAGTACTACTGGCTGAACCCCTCTTGCCTCCACTTTCCCGTTTAAGTGCCCACCTGTGTTTGCAATTCTGTATTTGCCACGCCAGGTGCATGATGATACTGATAATGATAATGACGGTGGGGAGGAGGGGGAGAAGTGCGGTGCGGCTGCGCTGCCCCCCCACCTGGCGAGCTCTAAACCCATCCTCATACTTGGGAAGCAAAACCTGTTGCCAGAAGAGGGGACGAGAAGGAGAAGCACGAGGAAGGCGGGATGACAGAGAGGGGACGACTAACGCGACGATAGGGGCGACGACAACGGCGACTGCGACAATGACCGAAACAATATCGTCAACGGTGGCGGCGACCCAGCGACGACGACCAAAATCCGACTGCGTGGACCCCTGCCCGGGTCCATCCCGGACAGTCATACGAGCCTCGTCCTGCCGTGGCGGCAAGAAGACGACGTCGAACAGCGACGACGACGACGACAACGACCACGACGACGACGATGATGACGACGAGGACGACGGCCATGGCGGCGGCGGCTACGGCGACGACCGCGGCCATGTTGACAACGACGACCACCACCACCACGACGACGGCCAATGGCCACGGCGACGACGACGACTGCGACGACGACGACCGCCACGACGACGACCACGACGCCGACGGCAGCGACGGCGGCGGCGGCGGGTGAGCGGCCGCCGCGGAGCAGGCACCCCGTCCTGCCGTCGGGGCCGGCGCCGACGTCTCTCAGGACCTCGGCGCCCCGCCCCAGGAGCGGGGCCCGAGGAGCGGGGCCCCGGGCTCGCGAGGAGGGTGCCCGAGGCGCGAGGGCCCGAGGGCCCAGGATCGAGGAGGGGGATCGGGGCCCGAGGCGAAGGCTCGAATCGAAGGCTCGGAGGCCGGGGATCGGGGAGGAGATCGAGGTCGAAGGCTCGGTGGGGGAGGAGCGGGGTTCGAGGATCCACGTTCCCGGCCCAGGGAGGGGGATCGGGGTTCGTGGAGGCTTTCGGGCGCCGCGCTTGGCACTCTCTGGAGTTCTGGAACCCTCCGCAGTCATCTGGTGTCCCACACCTCTCGCGACTCCAAACAATCACGCCACAGATTGTTCGCCGTGTGTCTGCGTCTGGGGTCCGTCTGCGGGGCCCAGGATCGTCAACAAAAACGCTCTTGATAAGAAAAACTCGTCCCCAGGATGGGGTCGAGAACCCCTGGCGGATGGGGCAGGCGTTTTCAAGTTTGGGCCCCCGGAAGCACTCCCAGGCCACGGAGCCGCAGAGAATGACCCACGGCGCGACTTCCATGCGAACGTTGGGGTCGAGAGACTTGAAAAGCCACAACCTCGGAAGCTTACGGGGACTATGCCCGCTCAAACCTCTCGTCGCCCAACATGGAGGCCCCCTGACAAGGCCGTAGAAAACTAGGGTCCGAGCCCGAGCATCGCGTCGCATCGCCCATGTATCGACGATGTCTACACAAAGAAAATAGAGCTCCGGATCGGTGCGTAGTTTTCCTCCTTCTCCTGCTGCTGCTCATCCTCCTCCTTGGGGGTGGGGGTGGGTTCGGCTTCCCGTCGAAAGGCGGAGGGGAGGAGGTCGGAGGAATGGAGAGAAAGGAGGGCAAGGAGGGATAAAGGAAGACGATGAGGGGACCAAGGAGGTAGAGGACGGGCAGGACACCACAGACGACGACGACGACGACGACGACGACGACGACAACGAAGACGACGACGACGACGACCACCACGACCACCAACTCTGGGAGCCCCTGAAGCCCCCAGCTGCCCAAAACAAGTCCAGCCCCCGAACAACAAATCCCGATATCCTCCTCTCGCCCTCGCAACGGGGATGTCGACGCCGATCGTCCAGCGCGCCCGGAGCGCGCTTCCAGCAGAGCCCGGAACCGCGAGGCCCACGTCGACGTTGGTGCTGCGGGCGCCCAGCGCGCCCTCCCGGAGGACGTGCTTCTCCTTTCGGGGGGGGCGGGGACGACGACGACGACGCAGACGCAGACGCAGACGCAGACGCAGACGCAGACGCAGACGCCGACGACGACGACGACGACGACGACGACGACGACGACGACGACGGTCGACGGTCGACGGTCGACGGATTGAAGAGTTACTCCGTTCGGGGCCCTTCTTGGAACTCCAAGAGCCTCCTCCTGCGCCTGCTCCTGCTCTCCTCGCATTCGGCCCTCCCCCATCTTCCCTCCATCCCTCCCTGCTCCCATGTTCCCTCCTCTGGAGGAAGAGACACGGCCTCGGGGGGGGGGGGGGGGGGCGAAAAAAAAGGCGCACTGTCGGAAGGGTCCAGGCCCAGGAAAGAAGCCAGACAGCACTCTGCATGAGCCCCACCAGGTCCTGCAGAAAGATAAGTCCAAGCAAAGCGAGATTCCCAGAAGAACTGGTTTCTCAGATGGGAGAGCTGTACCAAGCCGCGCAAGCCCAGAAGTGGGAGCAAGGTTCGCCTATCAGGTACCTCCAGCAGCAAGATAGTCTCATCGCCAGGAAAAGAAGACAGCACACCAGGATCCAGGAACGGCTCGACCAAATTGGAGTGTTCATGGCCGCGCTATCGGATCACCAGTCCAGTCTCGTCACACGGGCAGAACGCTTGGAAAAGGAGTTGGCCTCGCTTCGCGAGGAGTTCTCAAATGTGGCAGCAGCCAAGATGCAGCCCCAGGAAGAAAACCTCCAGGAAAAGTTTGACCTCTGGGAAGCTATTGAGGCCCACCCCAGCAAAGGCAAGCTTTTGCAAGTTTACGACACAAAGTTTCGAAGCCGTGGGAGGGCAGCGGAAGAAGGAGGAGAAGCAGCAGCAATGGAGAAGGACAGCGGAGGGCCAGCAGCAGAAGAAGGAGCAGTCAAGGAATGGTATGGCAAGGAGCTTGATGTGCTCGACCAGGAAGTTGGCTTTTCTATCGAAGCTAAGCGTGCGGCCAGCAATGCGGATTTGGAAGAACTATTGGAAAAACTTAGAAATGGTTCCAAAGCATGTGCCAAGGTCTTCCTCAACGGCTCTGGAGACGACACGGAAACAGCATTCTCCCATATTGCCCATAAGTTCAAGTCCCTCAAAGGACAAGGCGTCAAAGGCAGAACAGACAATGCCAGTTCGGGAGGGATCAGCCAGAACAAGTTGAGGGGTAATCTGAACCCCAGTCCTCCAAACCACAAAAGAAGGAGGGCAAGCAAGAAACCAAACTATCTCACCTTCACTAACATGAGCGTGAATTCCTGGAGCACTTGCCAAGATGTTCTGCCAACATTCGACTCTGATTTTGTCTTTGTCACAGAACACAAATTTAAAAGGGGAACATGGTAAGACAGCAGTGGGAATTTCACGCAGGGTATAAAGTGTATGGTACGCAAGGCCTTGCAGGACCTGAGAGGGCGTATCAAACGGGGTACTAATCCTCGCCAAAGGCCACATCGATACATGGGCGGACCGCAAAACTATGTACTGTTATACCTGGAAAGGCCTGCCACTGTAATTTCAGATCCAAGGAATACGGCCTTATTTCCCTCTATTGTGTCTACTTGATCAGTAGCACAGGCCGTAACCAAAACAATATCAGTATTCTGGGCAACTTGGCCGACGATATCGCCCAGCACGGCCAGCCGGCCATAGCTGGGGGGGTCTTTAATATCGATGTGTATTACTTTTATGAGCACGTAGAGCTGCAACAGTTGCACGAGCGTCAAATCTGCACCTACCCCCACGATCATAGCCCAAGGAGACTCGAAGATAAACCCGACATCCAGTCTTACATCGACTATTTCTTGATGAGCCATTTTATATCACCAGGGCTGAAGAAAGTTGAAGTAAACCATCACGTGGAATTGTCACCACATCGAATGGTAGGTATGGTTTTCGAAGGCAGTGCGAAGGACACATATGTAGGTGTTCCCGTTCCCTACCAGGAATACCTTACTCAGCAGGCGATTGAACCGGTACACAAAGCCAGGTTGCCAGACTACCAGGAGCAGATCCAGCAGATCAGCAGCTTCTCAGAGAGGAGAAGGGATGCAGAAGGGACGATCTGGAGCGTAGCGGGGGACAGCAAGGAGCATGGGAAGGACACGTTTTTCTTGAACTATACACATGAACTATGGGTGGACAAAGTTCGGTCGGAATTGCAGCTTCGCACTCATAGATGGGCCGTTGGAAAGCAGCCAGGGACTTCGATGGAACTCAAGAAGACCCCCTCAAGGAAGTCCTGCAGACCAAAGAACAACCAAAGGTGATGCCAAGATATCTGTCTCGGGCCAAGCGAAGGCTTGCGGAAGCCAAGAGCATCTATATGGGAAGTCTCGAGAAGGAGCCCGACAAGGAACACATCTCGCTAGTTTGCTCCAGGTATTCGTCCAGCTACCGAAGCAAGAAGGGACATTTCGAGCACACTGGCCAGAAGGAGGCGATATCTTCCACCCGCTGATTGCGGCGATAGGACCCTTGCTCACGCGGCCAAAGCAGATGGAGAGGGAAGGTTTTACGCATGCCGTCTCGTCCTTCTTCTCCTCCTTGCACGCAGCAGCCAGAGGAGAATCCAGAGAGAGACGCGGCAGGAGTGGGTGGAGAATACAATATAAGGATCAGGATCATTAGTCGGTCGTTGTCTGCGGGATAAAGACAGTCACGACACAGACGAATTCATCGCAGAAGAAGGCCTATCTTCTTCGTTGCACGTGTTTTGGAGCACCAACTAAAGCTGCGGAGCAGCAGATGGGCTGCTACACCTGAACAGAAGAGCCCCCATCGCTAAAGACTCGGCGCCCCCAGCCGCTTCCCCAGCCGGCTGACGCAGATACTTAAGGCAAATGTCACAAAAGCTCAAAGAGAATACATTCCAACCAAATGGCATTCACCCACGACACTTGGGGGACAAACAGCAATGGGGCTCATGTTTCAACTCATGGACGTGCTTGCCCAAGCCCCTTCATCAGCGCACCAACGCCGACTACTGCTAGCAAGGCAGCACACAGGACCAGGTCGGAGATGTATTGCCTTCTTTGCAGGTGTGCTCAGGGTCAAAGGTAAGCTAGCAACGGTTGAACGCAGGGCCTGGGAGAGCAAGTACGGCATGGGATGCAGTTTTTCAGCGACGCAGGGTAGGTCTCCAGAGGATTCGGTCTGGAGGCAGAGTGTCAGAGCAGAGATGCAGGCAGACAAGGGTGTTCACTGCATCCAGCTGCTGTGGGACATCTCTGCCTACTATTAGTACCTGAAGCACCAAGCCATGTTCGAGCAGGCAAGCTACGCTAACTACCCACGGCGCGTCCTGGTGTTTAGCATGTGAGTTTACAGGTGGTGTTGCTCGATGGAATGGTCAGCCCGAAAATCGACCCGAAGCGTGGTAGCACAGCAGGGGGGTCAGCAGCTACGCATGAAGCAAAATCATGTATGATGTCCCTTTTGGGCCAAGTCATCCCTGACGAGCACAAGCTAGACACAAGCGGCCAGCATACACATCTACGGCCTCGACCTCGGCTCATGGGGACGGGGCGCACATTGGTCATGTATTCCCTGGCTACTCTAGCGACGAGCGTACTGGCAGGATTACATGCTTTGAACCTCAGCTTGTCCCTGCCGAAATTCAACATGATGGCCAGTAGTCATGGAATTCTTCACCAAGCGAAGGTACGTCTTGGGAAGAAAGGTGGAGGAGCTGTATAGGCGGCAGTGAATATCAGATTGGAAGTGACATTACTGCTGGACAACACCAACGAGTAAAAGGAGCCAGGGTCCAACGGATCAAAAGATGGATCACACTAACAGGCTAAGCTAAGACAGTTCGAAGCCTGATGCTAAAAGACAACAAGAAGGCTACTGAAGCCAGATCATATACCGTAGGAGGACGGTCGGTTTTGAACTATGGAGCCAGTCTCCAAGGGTACACCCCCGCCAAAATCAGGAATCTCGGCGAGCTAGAGGCTACGGCCTCAGGACGAAACATCAAGCCAGCCAGCAGTACGCTGTGGTCGACCACAATGAAGGAGCCAAACCCGATCAGCATGATGCCCAAAGTCTTGGGAAGATACACGATGGAGTGGTGGAACATAATTTCGGCCAGATCGAAGTTGCGTGTCCGTGGCGATTTATTCCCAATCAAACATTGAGAGTCGCACTCGAAACTGCCAAAGCCAATCTCAGCACAACCAAGAAGAAATCATGGCTAGGGAAAGCTACAAGTCCAGTAACTCAGCTTCTAATATGGGTCAACGAAATAGAATGGGGTATGCCCACAGCCACAACAGTCACTGATTTAACAGGACGATCCTGGAACATGCTCAAGATAATACCCAAAAGGATCGCAAAACAATTCGCACAGCGATTCAAGCAAAACCTTACCCAGAGCTATCCACTCGAGCATGCTGACTCAGAGGCAGCCATCCAATCAGCCGGCGTCTGGACTGAGGTTCTCACGATAGCGTCGACAACAATAAATCGAGCTTCGTGGAAGGCACGCGTGCAAGGCACATGTTCGGTGGAACGCTCCCCACGGGCTCGAAACTGTCTTCTTGGGGCTACATGGGAGTCGGCCCTTCTACATATTGTGGGAAGCCGGCACATGCTTCCGCCGTGCTTGGGCATGCCCACATGAGCGAGACACCCGGCAAGACATTCTGAAGCCATATGCGAAAGCAGCCCTACCAGCAGACCAGCAAGATCTCCTGTATACAAGCCTGTGGGCGGCCAGACCCCAAGCTTGGGGACCACCTGTACCAGACTGGCAAATTAAACGCGTTTAAGGAAACGACGGAGATGCCAGAGAAGTTTCCAGGGAGGGATTTCGCCTCGTCCTACCCAATATGCTCGTATGCACCGACGGAAGCTACAGATGTCCCACGCAACCTATTCTGGCCCAAGCAGGATGTGAAGCTGTCCAGATAGATGAAAAGAACACCTGGTTAAGGCCCCCAGGAGCCCCTTGCCAGGATGATACCCCCAGACTTCAGCTCATGCT